TGTACAGGGTATGTGGCCGTTGGTCCTGTTAGCAGCATGTAAAACAAAACTTTCATTCAAATTCTGAATTGATTATAGCTTAGAAAGCGAGCAAATAGTGCTTCCATATAATCACTAAAAACCTGTCACTCACTTCAATTTATCGCAGCCTCACAATGTTCCGTTATAATCAATGAAGCTCTCTAAACTGCACATATGATATCTTATTCACATCGTGTCTATGTGTGGCATTTAGCAATGAGTGAATTCTGACTGTCTCGTGCTGAATGCATGAGAGTTGGCAGGCCTGTACCTATTTATATATTTCTTTATTAATATCTTAATATATTATATCTTATAGGGTTAGTTCACCCAAAAATGAAAATTCTGTCATTAATTACTCACCCTCGTGTTGTTCCAAACCCGTAAGACCTTCGTTCATCTTCGGAACACAATTTAAGATATTTTTTGATGAAATCTGAGGGCTCTCTGACCCTCCCATAGACAGCAAGGTAACTACCACGTTCAAGGTCCAGAAAAGTACCAAGATGATCGACAAAGTAGTCCGTGTGACATCAGTGGTTCAACTGTAAAGTTACGAAGCTACGAGAATACTTTTTTGCGCAAAGAAAACAAAAATAACGACTTAATTCCACATTTTCGTCTCTACTGCGTTACTTGTGGAATAAAGTAGTTATTTTTGTTTTCTTTGCGCAAAAAAGTATTCTCGTAGCTTCGTAACTTTACAGTTAGGGTTAGGGAAGTAATTAATGACAGAATTTTCATTTTTGGGTGAACTAACCCTTTAAAGCCTCATTCACATTGTAAATAGCGGAGGAAATCAGAGGACACTGAAATGCACATGGTGCACACAGATCTCAACCAGCTGCTCAGTGTTTAGTGTCCTCTTTTGTGCTGCCCAGAACAGGACAAAGTGGTACAGAACACGCCTCAAGATCGTCAGCTAAACCTGAAACCCTCATTTTCAAACAAAAGCACTCACAACAACAGAGAACTCAACATATCGATTGTGTAATCGCTTGATCAGAGCACACACCCTTACCTACAGCCATAAACCATCATTCATCCACTACCGCAATTACCCAGACATCTTTAAAATGCAGCTCTCATACAATTATCTGCTATTACTGCATACATCTGGTTCTACAAACAAAGCGGAAAATAAAAGTATGTGTACAGAACAAATAATTGATTTAATAGGAAAAGGAGGTATTTAAATAATTATCATAATCTATATTATACAAATTATACATTTAAATCATTATTTTATTGATTAATTATAGTATATACACTACCTGATGAATATTTTTGTGAAAAAAATGATTTATTTGAAATAGAAATCTTCTGTAACTTTATAAATGTATTTACTGTCAATTTAATGTGTCCTTGCTAAAAGTATTATTAATATTATTTAATATTCTTATTTACCTGAAACCTTTGATTGGTTGCGTATCATGGTTTCCACAAAAATATGAAGCAGCACTACTGTTTTCAACATTGATAATAATCAGAAATGTTTCTCGAGCAGCAAATCAGCATATTAGAATGATTTCTGAAGATCATGTGACACTGAAGACTGGAGTAATGATGCTGAAAAATCAGCTTTGATCACAGGAATCAAATGCATTGTAAAATATATCCAAATCAAAAATAATTATTTTAAATTTTAAAAATATTTAAAAATATTACTGTTTTTACTGTGTTTTTGATCAAATAAATGCAGCCTTGGTGAGCAGAAGAGACTTCTTTCAAAAACCGTAATGATTCCAGTAATGTAAATTACAATGAATTATATCTAATACTATATTTTATAGTTTTATATATTTATAATAATTTAATAATTAATTATGCATGTAGCAGATGCTTTTATCCAAAGCGACTTACAGTGCATGCAGGCTATATATTTTTTACCAGTATGTATTTATATAATAATATTATTACATTATATTACAAACATATTATAATATAAAAAATAAACAAGTAATAAATGACATGGCTTATTGGTAGTTATCACAGTGCAATGGATAATGAATGTGAGTGAACTGGACAGGTTTCTTTACTTGCAGGCTCACCTGAGAACCAGAGAGTGAGTGGACGGCATTTATATACGAGGGACGGGCGACATTATAATATAAAAAATAAACAAGTAATAAATGACATGGCTTATTGGTAGTTATCACAGTGCAATGGATAATGAATGTGAGTGAACTGGACAGGTTTCTTTACTTGCAGGCTCACCTGAGAACCAGAGAGTGAGTGGACGGCATTTATATACGAGGGACGGGCGACTCCGTAGCTTTCATGGTGACCCGATGAGTCCTTCCTCATCATAGACTCTGCTCGCTTAATGATGTCACCGATGCGGTGAATGAAACCTTCCTTCTCCGAGGGCAGGATGAACTCATTATGCACCTTGAGGGGGTGAGAGAAAAGGAAATAAACAAAACCAAATGAGCAAGCCTGACTTACTGTACGAAGCCCATCCATTCTGAACGCCGAGGGCGAACTGGCACACGTAGCGCACGTAGACCATGCGGGGATCAAGGGGGCTCTCTGTGCAATGCAAACTACCCCTCGACTACTTAAAATGAAACGTGCTTAAATTGAGCATGTGCATGCTTATGGACACTCTTTTAATTCAAGGCAGCTTTAATTAAGTTTGTCCACAAGCTGAGCTTTTACACACCACTAATAGCAGTGGGTGTTCATGCTTCGACCAATAACACGCCAGGAGTGACTCTGCGCTGCCAGGACTCTGAGACCAAACAAAGAGCTTCTGTATGGGAGAAAAGGAGCTGCATGCGGTCACACAGTCATGTAATCCAACACACACACACTTATTGAGCAATATACAGTCAGACGCTCATATAGACAATAGGCGTCCATCACTCTTACACTATATAAGCCTCACATTCATGGAAAATATCAGCAGTTCATTAATATTCTATTTATACTTCGACGTGAACTGGTAAATGCATTTTTTTTATGGTTGTTCTGAGATTTTATTCCTCCTCTTCTAAATTCATTAATCTGAAACGCCTCCAAACCACACTGGTGCTCACTTCTTCAGTGCTGATTATATGTGAGCCTGGAGCACAAAAGCAGTCTTAAGTCGCTGGGGTATATTTGTAGCAACAGCCAAAAAAACATTGTATGGGTCAAAATTAAAGATTTTTCTTTTATGCCAAAAATCATTAGGATATTAAGTAAAGATCATGTTCCATGAAGATATTTTGCAAATTTCCTACCATAAATATATCAAAACTTAATTTTTGATTAGTAATATGCATTGCTAAGAACTTCATTTGGCCAACTTTAAAGGCGATTTTCTCAATATTTAGATTTTTTGCACCCTCAGATTCCATATTTTCAATTAGTTGTATCACTACCAAATATTGTCCTATCCTAACAAACCATATACATCAATGGAAAGCTTATTTATTCAGCTTTCATATGATGTATAAATCTCAATTTTGGAAAAATTGACACTTAAGACTGGTTTTGTGGTCCAGGGTCACATATGTAATCTGGATTCTGAAATCCAAAAATTAAGTAGTTGTAATTGGATTATATATTAAAATACTATACGTTTTAAAATACTCATAATCAGACTACGCTGTTAAAAATATTTGTAATTTTAACGGTAAAAGATTGTTGCGTAAATACCTGTTGGTTGACGGCAAGTACCTTTATATACTGTACAGTGAAAAACTGTAATAGATCTACACTCAGAAAAAAGGCACAAAAGCTGTCACTGGAGCAGTATCCTTTCAAAAGGTACACCTTTGTACCTTTTTTACCCCTAAAGGGTGCATTATAAGCACATTAAAGGTACATACAGTATTAGTATACTTAGTATCTAAATTGTACATAATTGTACTATTTGGAAATGTACAACCCCAGTGACAACTTTTGTACCTTTTTTTTTTTTGTGAGAGTGTAACGTGACATTTTAAATACATTTACAGTAAAATATAGTTAAATGTACAATACAATGTATGTAAGTAATCCACCCAGTACTGTTTTTTTTAACAGAAACATTTGTAGCACTCTGATGCAGCGCATGAATTATTAAATCACAGAATAACCTATGACAAATAAACATTAAAAAAACTAAGTTAAGACCTCTTTTGGATTAAAAATATTAGACTTTCTTCAGATTATATAAGTATCTGAGGTGTGCAAGTACGCAGGCAACTTTCTATCTCCACATACACAATTTTTTATTACTTGTCTAGATCTTGGGTACTCGGTGCTTCACTGCTATTTTCAGCCATGTTAAATTTGTGCCAGGTTTAGTTAATGGAATTTAGCGATCTGGCCATCTGGCGGACACCATGCATCAGATGACATCAATCAAAAAAAGGAAGAAAAAAAAAAAAAGAAGTAAAAAAGAAAAAAAAAGAAATGCAACATTGCTCTCCTGCGTCTGATAATGAGGGACAAACAGAACCAGATGTCTGAAACAGTGGGTGATCTGGGGCATGTGCAAGTCAGATTATGACAAAATATCTCTGAAATGTACATATATATAACAGAAAAATGTCAGTATGCGTATGTGTATAATGTAATGTACATGTTCATGTTAACTATTAGTAGTTATCAGTAAAAAAAATTATTTTAACTTGAAAAAATTTGAAAAAATAAACATGAGAATGTAAAGTGTTTGCCTAGTATTTGTTACAAAGTCATTATAATAACTTAATTTTGACAGTTCTTATAATAATATAATTTTGACAGTTCAAAATTGAAGCCAGTGCTGTCAAAATAAAAGTCCCGCTTCTGACAGTTATTGGCCAAACAGAAAAACTCGGTGCTCAATGCCTATAATTAAAAAATGGCAAAAAACGTAGTTAATCTTAGTTGCTAATTTCAACATTTATCAATAAATTCAAATCAAAAGTTGTATCTGTTAATATAATTTAATAGACCTGAGTTAACGTGAGCTAACAATGAACAGATATATTTTTATTAACTAACATTAACAAAGATTAATAAATACTGTAACAAACAAACAAACGATTGGAGAAAAAAAAGAAAAGGGAAATGGGATCGGGAAAGGGCCACTAGCCTATGGCTCTGACAATCTCCCATCTCTAATCTACCACAGTACGCTCTGCTAAATGAGTGAGGTCTGGATACGTGCCTCACTGAGGACTTTCTCACAAGGTTTTCACTAAACGGCACTCAAAAGAGCATATCACTCACTGACGGAGGGGAAGTACAACATAAGCTCGTGGGATTTTCCTGATAAGGGCGGCAGTGGGGCATTTGTGTATCTCTGCTACAGCTGATAATGTATGTGGTTGTGTGCTTACATGTGTCCCATGACTACTACTGGATACTAATATCCTCATCCTAATGTAGTCAAGACATTTGATATTTATGTTTGATTTAACTCCACAATTTAATAGACCTGAGTTAACGTGAGCTAACAATGAACAGATATATTTTTATTAACTAACATTAACAAAGATTAATAAATACTGTAACAAACAAACAAACGATTGGAGAAAAAAAAAAGGGAAATGGGATCGGGAAAGGGCCACTAGCCTATGGCTCTGACAATCTCCCATCTCTAATCTACCACAGTACGCTCTGCTAAATGAGTGAGGTCTGGATACGTGCCTCACTGAGGACTTTCTCACAAGGTTTTCACTAAACGGCACTCAAAAGAGCATATCACTCACTGACGGAGGGGAAGTACAACATAAGCTCGTGGGATTTTCCTGATAAGGGCGGCAGTGGGGCATTTGTGTATCTCTGCTACAGCTGATAATGTATGTGGTTGTGTGCTTACATGTGTCCCATGACTACTACTGGATACTAATATCCTCATCCTAATGTAGTCAAGACATTTGATATTTATGTTTGATTTAACTCTACAAAAAAAATTTCAAAAGAATAAGCCATTATGAAAAGAGAAGACAATGTGTTGAAGGGATAGTTCACCCACAAATGAAAATTCTGTCATTAATTACTCACCCTCATGTTGATCCAAACCCGTAAGACCTTTGTTCTTCTTCAGAACACAAAGTTAGATATTTTCGAAGAAATCTGAGAGCTTTCTAACCCTCCATAGACAGCAATGCAATTGACACGTACAAGGCCCAGAAAGGTAGTAAGGACATCGTTAAAATAGTCCACACGCACACACATGATGTCCTTACTAACTTTCTGGGCCTTGAATGTGGAAAGTTGCGTTGCTGTCTTTTCAGGGTCAAAAGCTCTCAGATTTCATCAAAAATATCTTAATTTGTGTTCCGAAGATGAACGAAGGTCTTACGGGTTTGGAACGACATGAGGGTGAGTAATTAATGACAGAATTTTCATTTCTGGGTGAACTGTCCCTTTAACGAATGTATTTAAGATTTTAGGCACCTACCATTACCGCAGCAATGTCTTCAGGGTTGTCGCCATCCAGGTCGAATTTGAACGTGACCATCTTATCGTTATGGGTCTGTAGCTGACACTCAACTACCCGGTCCACTTTATCAGACACCTGTGAGGAACAACACACACAAATATTCTGTATTTCATATTTTGTCATCAACTGAAAAGGCTTTCATACATTTTGTTGCAAGTGGCCAAATGCTCTTTGGGATGTGTTTGACTTATTGTGCTTATTGTGTTTGACTGTGTTTTTACTGTTCATGTCTCTAGCCCTTTGAATACTAATCAATGCAAGCCAAAAGGGTTCTTTATAAAACAAATGACTGAGGACATACCGTACCCACGCAGAGAATGATCACACATGGACATCTGCTAAACATCTTGAATTCACATGCGATATCATTCCAAGATATTGCCATTTGCACTTAATTTTTGATTTCTATCATGGATTTACAGAAGTGGAGAAATGGACTGGTGGGCGGTTAAGCACAGTCTCCAACCGATATATCGGTAAGTCAAGTCACCTTTTTTTTATAAAATCTAAAATATTATAAAATATACTTTATAAAATACAGATTGTTTCGAAGCAGGAAAATAACAATCAGTGATGCAAACTTCATCAAATATGAGACAAATTCAAATTCTGCTGTAAAGCAGGTCTAAAAAGACAATAGCATCATTTTTCAGCTCAAGTCGGTACAGTGTTGATTCCGTTCAGTTCAATAATTGTGTAAAGTTTATCAATTATGAAACTTATAGTTTGATTCAGCTATAAGCAGTTCTACAGAAGGCAATAGTGTCATTATTCATCTTGATTTAGTTCAAGTTTTGTTCTCAAGGCTGATATATTGGCCGATATTTGGCACTTTTTAATTATCGGCATCAGGCGCTTAGTTTTTTGTTTGGCTGAAAACTGTAGGAAGCCGGACTTTTATTTTGACACTGCTAAGAACTGTCAAAATTCTATTATAATATCTTTATAATATAAAATTAGATAGCTTTTTATTTGTTTTTATTTTGTTATAATAAATAAAATTATATATTTTTCATATGATTCATTTTCAAATAATTTATTTTAGTAAATATTGTCAAATTAATATAAATATCATTGCAGCATTTACTATCTTTAAAATGAAATAGTGCAAGGTCATATGAGCTTTATATGGTTCATCGGCCAACCTGCTCTCTAAGATTATCGGTATCAGCATCAGACATTAAAGAATAAATATCGGTCAACCTCTAGGTAGTTTGATGCATGCGTGACTGGATCAAATGTTGAATTATCCTCACCCCTGTAATGCGCAGACGAGACCTCATTCTCCTCCTAAACAGTTTCCCTGTTGTCCGTCTTTCAGCAAACTTACTCCCTCTGTCTGACAGTCCATCGTAGCCATCGCTCAAGCCTGAGGTCACATCTGAAGCATAACTGTGAAGAAAGGATAACTAAATTACAAATTATTTACAAAGGATTATGTTTTGCATATTATGGCATTCCAAACTACAGGAAAATATCTGTGTATGCACTTACAGCTATCATTATTAGCAATGTTTGCTAATGCATACATACTGTTGCATGGTATTTAAACATAAAATTAACCCTAAGTATTAAACGTCTGTGTGCAACTCACCCCAAACCATTTGCAAAAATCAAGTTTGTTATGTTAACCGTCAAATCAACACGACTAGCACTTTGTACAACCTAGTAAACTTATAAAAGCACAAATGTGAACGTCATGTTAAGTAAACGGGTGTTTGGAAGACCTGCAGTTAAACAGAGCCATTAAAAATGGTTCAATAAGCACAAACCACTGAGGAATTTCCCTCTCTCATCATCTCAACACCCTTATTTGTTTAATATCAGGTTTTTAAGGGAACACGGTACATTTAATGAGCGCTGTGTTCCCTCTTATTAGGTTTTACAAGTCTGAAGTAGTTAAACAAACTCTGTGTATGTCCTTCTTTTAGTTGTTGGCCTGTGACCCTGTCGATCGTCAGTAATGTCCAGTGCACAGAACCCTTGTGAAAAACAGGTGTGCTTCAGTCTGTGTGCATTGAATTGATTTAATACACGAGTTTCACAATTTGAGTTGAATTACTGAAATAAATGAACTTTTCCACGACATTCTAATTTATTGAGATGCACCTGTATACTTTAAATCTTAAAAGTATATTTAAAAAAATTGTACTTGTAGATAATACATTATTGAAATAAAAGGCCACTTAAGTGTACTTAAAGAGTTACTTTCAAAGATTCACTGTATCTTAACACACTTAACACACAAAAAATGCACATTGTAAAAATGTCAATTTATAAGTTTTACTTTAAAGTACATTTTAATGTGTTGACTAACATACTAGAGCACATGTAAAGTACTTGATTATAATTTTAACTGTAGGGGATTTATATGTTATTTCATTTAAATTAAATATATTTTACATGTACTGAACTGCAACTTCATCATTACAAATGTGCGACTACAAATATATTTAATATACTAAAGTGTACTTCTTTTTACACATGGGAAGAACTGCTGGACAGCAAAATGTATTTTTAACTGCACTGTTTTCTGGAAATCCAACATAACAGCTAAAGAGGAAAAACTAGACAGATGTAGTATTTGAATTGGCTTTATCTTTGCAGAAGTTCCACACACAGTTTGAGGCCTTGTTTGACTTTGGCCCGTAGGGACGTGGAGTCCATTCTTAGCTTGTTTCTGTGAGCTAATTGTGTCTCCCAGGTCTTTTACCAACACAAGCCTCTGTTTTATCCAAACACTGGGCTTCCTACGAGGCCCACAAACACGTTTACAGCCAGCCTACCGTTTGGCAGACTCTGGCTCTTTTTGAAAGATCTCTGCCTGTTGAGGAACATGAAGTTCTAATGAGTGGAAAACTATGCTGTAATGGCAGGCATTTGCTAGGGACGGCGTCCAAAAGCCCTGTGGTGTATAAACAGTATCCTATAGGACATGAAGCATGTGCTCTGTTGCGAAAGATGAGAGGAGGGGATGGGATCCTACTGAGCACAAAGCCATTAGTACATCTGGCACTAAAGTAAAACATCGACCTCAAAGTCCACAGATGTGAGAGAAGAGCTGAGGGATAAAGAAAGCAGGTCTTTACCTGTCCACGGGTGAGGAGAAAGGGCTAAGCGGTCCTCTCTCGGTTTTACTAGACACGGCAATACTCTGTGGGAAGATTAAGGAACAGGCCTTCAGCCACATGGAGTAATTAACAACAAACATCAAAGAAACAAGTTCATAGTAATTAGTGTAAATTAAGGTTAAATGGCTCTCCTGAGTTTAACTCGGGATTAAGTGAGGCCAATTTTGTAATTATAAACTCACTGAGGGGAAACGGAGAGCCAGGATTGGTGGAGTGATGGTGGGCGTGGCCTCTGTGGGTGTGGCCTGTTGGGGGAGGAGGATTGGAGAGCAGCTGACGGTGCCATTTGAAGCTTCGGTAACATCCTGTAAGCCAGAGGGACTGAGATATCCATCAGTCTCACAGTCAGCTGGAGAAACACAAAGACAAACAGACGATCTGTTAATAGATATCCCTATGGATCCTGTTTGTTGTTGTATTCTTTCATTAAAAGCTAGCTTTAACTCTTTTTCACCATCCAATCAATCCCCCAATGGATCAAATCAAGACCCACCAATGATTTTATCATTAAATATCCTGTTTCACTCAGAAATACATTACGTTAAGGTCTTGATGACTTTATTCATAAATAGCATGGATGTCTCTCATATCAGATGACTTGGATCAAAGGCCAAAGGACACTAGAATTCATGGATCAAACCAGGGTTAAAAGCTTAAAGCAGATGCCATGTCCACCGCTTATATTCTTCCTTTAAAACAACATGGCAAAATGTCAGTGAAGTGCGTTACAACTCACTGCTTGTTTTAGCATCATTTCAGTCCAGTTTTAGTTATTTTAGTACATCAAATTAAATTAAATGAAAATGTAAAATGGTAAACTTAGTTATTTTTAGTAGTTTTGTTGTGCTTTTGTCATTTCTATTAGTTTTAGTTTTTTTAATGTCTTAAATGAGTTTTTCATTCATTTTATTTCAGTTTTAGTTTATTTTAGTACATCAAGTTAAACTAAATGAAAATAAGAAATGTTACATTTAGTTAGCTTTAGTCATTTTTATTTTTTTTTATGTCAATTTATTAGTTTTTTCATCCGGTTAAACTAAATGTTACCCTGGACCACAAAACCAGTAATAAGGGTCAATTTTCCGAAATTGAGATTTATACATCATATGAAAGCTGAATAAATAAGCTTTCCATTGATGTATGGTTTGTTAGGATCGGGCAATATTTGGCCGAGATATAACTATTTAAAAATCTGGAACCTGAGGGTGCAAAAAAATCCAAATACTGAGAAAATCGTCTTTAAAGTTGTCCAAATGAAGTTCTTAGCAATGCATATTACTAATCAAAAATTAAGTTTTAATATATTTACAGTAGGAAATTTACAAAATATCTTCATGGAACATGATCTTTACTTAATATCCTAATGATTTTTGGCATAAAAGAAAAATCGATAATTTTGACCCATACAATGTATTGTTGGCTGTTGCTACAAATATACCCCAGCGACTTAAGACTGCTTTTGTGCTCCAGGGTCACATATAATAAATGAGAAACAGACAGACATATTTTAAAATAATTACAAAAGTTTATAATAATGTTGCAGTTATGGTTCTATCTGAAATTTAAAAAAAAGTGTTTATTTAATATTATTTTTATTTGAGTTAACACTTATTTTATTGCAAATTTTATGGTTTTAATTTTAACTATAACCTTGACTGACTGCTAACATGTCAACAGAGAAAATACATACACATAATGTAGGAATATAACAGTTAATAAATTAAATCTACTTCTTCATATCACAGTGTCCTCCTTTTTCTATAGTTTCCACTCCAAGAGTGTGTCAAACTGCATGACCGTAACCCTCACCCTCCCTGATAAGCATACACACACTGGCTATTAAAAAGAGTTTATTTGTGGACGTCGGTTGACTGTGCCATGCTGTTTTCAGGTCTAGGAGAGCTGCCGGGCTTAACACGCCATGAAAGAAACATTGAGGAAAATTTAGGGCACTGCACAATGTAGTTTATGTGAGGCTCACTGGCCGTCTTGAACCCGTGCAGGAGAGCAGAAAGACATCTGAAATAGTGGTGTCCCAATATGGATTTTTCAGTGGCTAATAATGAACCTAAAAAGTATCAGCCTGACTAGTGTATTGGTCTACCGCTGCTCAATAGTAGCATTATTGTAATCACATAAACATGATCAAATGAAGATCTGGTACGTACAGGTTGCTGAGGAGCAGCTTGTATGGTGGATGTGGAAGTGTTGATCGGCCTCTGGTTCCTCTGGCTCTGGTGGGAATCTGCCGTTAATCCCAGAATCCGATGAGCCAGTAATGGGAGAGCACATGGGTTCTGGGATTACAGGAGTGGGCGGGATCTGCACAGGAGAAGGGGCGGGGTTTTCAGATATTTGAACGTTGGATCTGGGCGATGGCAGCTCAGACTCTTCCTCAATAACTTCCTCCTTCTTCTTCCGCTGCTGCTCCTCTGCTAGCCGACGGTGTTTTTCTCGCTGACGTTTGATGGCTGTAACGCGGTCTCGCATGGCCTTGGCGACCAGCTTGTAGTCGGCCTCACATACAAACCCCAGAACCACCTGGAAAAAATGAGATGATTGATAAAACTCTATTAGTGAGAGTAAAACTTTATCAGTGCAACAATACATATGGGTCAAATCAAATTTAAATCACTATTTTTGTATTCAGATGAAAAGAAATATGGTGTCTACCATGACTTGGGTGCCTACACTAGTAACTGTGCTCTCAAATATTAACATGATCCCATAAAATCTACTGCAGTGAATGGGTGCCGTCAGAATGAGAGTCCAAACAGCCGATATAAAAACATCACAATAATCCACAAGTAATCCACACCACTCCAGTCCAGCAGTTAACATCTTGTGTAGTGAAAAGCTGTGTAATTGTACAAACAAATCCATCATTAAAACATTTTTAACTTCAAACCATAGTTTCTGGCTAAGATACAAGTCGTTTATCCATAATATTGCTTTCTCCAGTTAAAAAGTCGTCTTGTCTGAATCAGGCGAGAAATATGCACAGATCAAGCACTGTTTAAAAACAGTCCAAAACTGTTCTAAACAAATATGCTGGTGGATTTTAATGTGAGAGGACAACAGGAGACGGACTTTTTACTTGTGGATTACTGTGATGGTTTTATCAGCTGTTTGGACTCTCGTTCTGACGGCACCCATTCACTGCAGAGCATCCATTGGTGAGCAAGTGATGCAAAGCTACATTTCTCCAAATCTGATGAAGAAACAAACTCATCTAGATCTTGGATGGCCTGACGGTGACTACATTTTCAATTTTGGGTAAATTGCTCCTTAAATGTTGCATGCAAGTGTGAAACATGGTGCCTTGTTATTGATGCCAACAAATTCTGCATTCTTTGACGATCTAAATCTAATTTTTTCTTGGCAAGAAGTTTATGAAAATGGCTCTCAATAACCTTTCACTCAACTCTGGAACAGTGTGTTTCCACTGAAACAATGTAGGCCAATGTTGTCTTGAAGACTCTATCATCATATCAGCTAGTCAAATTACGTGATAACCCTCCGTCGATGTGACTTGACGATAAATTTGTTCTTGATGAAAAGCAGACACGTTGAGAGATAAAAGACGAATTGTGAAGGTCCGGTCTAATAAAAAGTGAGATTCAGTCTGGACAAGAGAAAGGCTCCAGTTTCACAACGCAGTCTTGAAGCCATTCTATCAACAGTCATGTGACCCTCTTCCTCATTTGGCCCTGCTCTCACATTTCCACCTTGATAATTAAAAAGCTATGCCCTTGAAACCATTATGCAACACACAGCAGGGTTACACAGGCCTGAAGCGGATGGTGAGGCTCATGTGCCACTGTGTCAAGAAAAACCCTGCCAGTAGATACATACTGAGGTGTGTTTGGGACTTTGTGCTCTAGGAAGGCCAAGAGTTCAGTTACGTCCCCATATTACTGACACAGGAAGAGTAAAGAAATCTACCCAGAGTGAGGACAGATTGTTGGAAACGACCGACATTGTGAAGGTCACAGAGGAAACCTGTGTCATGAAGTCATAAGGGTAAAAACAAAGAAATCAAGCTTGGGTGAATCTGATAAAAGTACAGTTCTGCATCACATTTCAGCCCCCAAATCAATAAATGATATTTTGCTTAAGGAAAGACACAGTGTTAAATCTTATGGTACATTTTGGTATTGTGACAACACTACTTATGATCATTGAATTTAAGAAGCTTTTGGCATTATTGTCTCAATTCTTACTACCAATTCTTAGAAAAAATATATAAAATATTTAGGGCTGCCAAATAGATTAATCACGATTAATAGCATCCAAAATAAAAGTTTGTGTTTACATGATATGAGTGTGTGCTATGTATATTTATATGTATATATAAATACACACATATACATGTATACATTTAAGAAATATATATATATATACAGTATATACATATATATATGATTTATATTATATATAAATATATTACATATATTTCTTATATACATGTATGTGTGTGTATTATATATACATAAATAGACAGTACACACACATATATCATGTAAACACAAACTTTTATTTTGGATGCGATTAATCGTGATTAATCGATTTGACAGCCCTAAAAACAACGTATTTCAGTAATGAGAAATTACATTGGAATTAAGGAATTTGCTAAAACTTAAAAGTAAAATGTCTTTGCACATTACAGTCATGAAAACTGCCACTGTGAGTATTCTGAATGACCAGAAACTCAAAAGAAAACCGCCTGGACACAAGAATTGAGCGGGGAAATGTGATTAACGGTCAGAAAATAATAATGCGATGCAAAAGCCTTTTTCCCCATTCGTTATTGGGATGAAATGTAATCTGGATGTGTTTTTGTAAGATTCATCCACTTGTGTTGTGGTAACATGCACAGTAAACACCTGTTAAAAACTGGTAGGTTACTAAGACACACATATTTGTTTAATAGTTCTGTGTGATTGAATATCAATGCTTCAGGATCATTGTTGCAGATCTCTGCAGAAAACTCAACCCACATATTAACGTACATCTGTGAACACATACGCTTTGTTGATGCCTGAGGGGAATATCTGGGTTTAGTGTTAACAGTGACAGTAAACCAACGAGTCAGAGTAGATGGGAAATGTAACCACACCTTAGATCCCTTCAAGAAACACATATGAAAAGCTAACAGAAAAGGGAGGTAAAGATCCGGTTAGCATGAGATTATGTGTGAGTGAAGCTCACCATCTCCTGCGCCACCTCCTCTGGCACGTCTTTGTAAAGCTCGAACAGGAACTCAATGGCGTTGTTGTCCTTGTACTTTCCGTGGAGCTTCTTGGTGCCGTCCATGCGAAGCCAGAGCTTCAGGCTGGATTTGACCATATCATCTTCCTCAGCCAATTCAACGTAAACGCCATTGTGCTCCTGGAAGAACGTGTGCTCCAGCAGGTCCTGGATGGTGTATCTAGACAGAAATCTCCATATGAAGCCACACAAACTGAATGTATGAAATAAATGTCAATCAATAGGTGGTTTAAAGCCGTTTTATATTTAAAAATATAGGTTACATGCACCTGTTTTCAATGAGTTAAATTATTAAGCATAATAATAATAATTATTATTATATTATTAAAACTATTTAAGCTTCATGCTTTACTTTTCATATGCATATGAATGTGGAAGGGTGGAAATGCATGCAAATAATAATTTCTAATATTATTTTGAACTAGCTTTTATTTAAAAATTTTAGTTTTCATTTTAATTTTATTTTAGTTATTTTGTTTTAGCATTTTTAATATTACTTAATTAGGTTTACTTTTTTTTAGTTTTAGTTATTTACAGTAAGCAATTTTAGTGATTCAACTCAAACTTATTTTAGTTTGTTCATTTTTGTTTAATTTACATTTTTCACCTAATATTTGTTATTTCAGCTATATTTAAATCACCAAAAATAGTTTTAGCTAACAATAATAACCCTGATATGTAACTTGTGAATGTATACAACAAAAATACAGCTGACCGATTTTAAATATTGAAACATTACGTAATGATCATCACATAGTTAGCTCAAAACAAAAAAATATAATTTCATAGGCAAAGCTACAAGGTTTCCCAAGTGGCTGGAAAGTGGAGTAGATGCATATTTAACATTGAGGATATATTATTATTTAGGACGATTTTTTTTTTTTTAAATAAAAACAATCTCTGTAGCATTACTTTTTTTTGTTGTTGCTGATATTTTGCAGAATCCTAAGTAATTTCACTTTTCTGCATAATAATAACTGGTGAATATATAAAATGAATGCTTCTGCACAAGAATGTTTTAAAGAACACTTTCAAAGTGGAAAATCAAACAGGAAAATCAATAAAGTACCTTTCATCTTTGTTCATGCGGATACAGCCTTCAATGATTTCCTTTAACTCTGGAACTTTCACTTTGTAGAAACTGTCGGGCTTTATACCCTGAAAACAGCAGAAGTGGACACAAATGTCAAAGTCTGAGAAAAACATCAGTCAAAGAGGCTTAATATGTTTTAACATGTCACTCATCAATCTAATGTTCAAATGTAAATTAGATGATTCCCTTTCAGATAATCTAATCATAGCCAGTTACACAAGAGCGAGGTTTCAAAGCTTGCCTGGATGTTTTGAAAAAGTTACTTTGCACCAATGCACTGTTGATTTGTTACTGACACTGCCCTTGAGCAAAGCACACAACCCTAAAGCTATGGGAGTTTGTTTATTTTTATATACATTTTTATATAAAAATTTTAATTTTTTGTTGTTGAAAAAATAAAATAGGTAATTGCGACTTTTTATCTCACAATTCTGACTTTTTTTTTCTTGTAATTCTGAGAAAAATACTTGAGATATGAATTGAGAATTGCGAGATATGACCTCAGAATTCTGACTTTCTCACAATTCCGAGTTTATATCTCACAATTCTCAGTATTTTTCCTTGCAATTCTGAATTTATCTCACAATTCAGATTTTTTTTATTTATTTATTTATTTATTTTAATTTAATTTATTGAGTTTATATCTCACGATTCTAGGAATGCACGATATTATCGGACCAATATCGGAATCGGCTGATAATGGCTTTAAATGTAAATATCGGCATCGGCCCGATATGAAAAATTATGCCGATATGTCTTGCCGATAAGAGGAATAAATAAACCAATTATGAGTTCTAAAAGATTTTCAGAATTTTTACAACTCTTTTGCTTTAGACCATCTACAAATGTTAAATCATAAAATAAAATATTAAGGTTGCCACTGCATCTTTCTGAAAAAAAATGCAGTGATTAATATATAGTTTATTTATAGTTATTTTCAAATCTTCAATGTACTGTCATTATAAAATAACTATTATTGTTTATTTAATTCTAACAAATAAGTTATTTTTAAAAACTAACCAAAATTAAAAATAATTACATATCGGTATTGGCATCGGCCAAAATGAGTTGAAAATTATCGGCATATCGGATATCGGCAAAAATTCAATATCGTGCATCCCTACACGATTCTGACTTTTTTCTCACAGTTGTGAGTTTATATCTCACGATTCTGACAATTTTCTCACAATTGTGAGTTTATATCTCACAATTCTCATTTTTTTCCGTACATTTCCTAACTTATATCTCACAATTCTGACTTCTTTCCCCTTGCAATTCCAAATTTATATCTCACAATTCTGAGTTTTCTTCTTACAATTCCGAGTTTATATCTTACAATTCAGACTTTTTCCCTAGCAATTCCAAATTTATCTCACAATTCTGTTTTTTTCCTCGCAATTGCAAGTTTATATCTCACAATTTACACTTTTTCATTTACACATTTCAGAGAAAAAAATCTTAATTGCAAAAAAAAATTCTGAATTGTGAGACATAAACTGAATTGTGAGATAAAAAGTCACAATTCCCTTTTTATATATATATTATACCTTGAACCCACTTAAACATTCAATAAAGCAATGTAACATTATTAATTTTACACTGTAGTCTTCTAAAATACAATTTACAACACTTGCATGTGCTTGGTTTAATGTTGATCTATCATATTAAGATCTACAACAGTTAACGCCTGTTATTTGTCACATTTGACTTACTTCGACTATACAAAAGTCTTCAATCATGTGAGGTTAAGCTGTGATTTCAAAGAATTACAGCTGAGGACTGAATTACAGCTGGAGTAGGTTACTTTCCCTGTAGACTTGTGTAACATTTGTTGAGCATGAGCTCCATAAAGCATCGAGTTCATGGGAGTTTTGGACGACCGCCCATCCCGTTTACACGCGCGCTCCTTGGCTTTGTCATTAACACTCAGCAACCTTTTCAGAGCAGGCTTTGTTTCGTTCATTCAAGACACGTCATTCAACAAACCTATAAACCAAAACCACTGGCGTCATCCACATAAAGTGCGTGTCAAATTTAGCTATTACTTTAAAAACATCATAAACTTGTTTTCTGACATGCAAAATCAAAACATTACTGAAATCCTGTTGAAGTTGGTTGTACTTCATGTCGTACAACATCTCAATCCACTGCAAAGTTGTTATGTTTCCTTATAGCATTTGTTAGGAACACTCTTTCATGTATAAAAAAACCTGTTCAAGACTGATTTACATTAAAGAGATCTGTCTGAAGACGTTGTAAACACATGCTGATGTAAGTTTCCAAATGCAATAAGGAGCAGACAAGTGAATATACTGTATCCCTAACAAGCTGCATAATCAGAATGACCTCTCTGTGTACATGTGACCTGTAGGGCCTTTCTCAAATTATCCAGAATGAGACGAGCCCTGGGTTTTTTAAAAACAGGATACAAACAGGGGGTATTTCAAACTATTTTAGAGCCATAAGCTCTAATCAAACCCAAGCCGTGAGTCTTAAACTTCTGCTCAAAGTGAACTCACAGCAAGCTCTTAAGGAAATGAGAGGAAACGAGGACATGCAGGAAGAGAATGAAAGAAGAGAAAAGATGTTTATGGCACTTTCCATGCTGGGCTAAAGGTCTCAGTGCTGGAATAAACTAGGAAATATGGACGTGCATATGCTTATTGCAAAATATATGCACAACAATTAAACATATTTTAAAGCAATCTCACAGATTTTGTATTTGAAAGAAGTCTCTTATGCTCGCCAAGGCTGCATTTATTTGATCAAAAATACAGTAAAAATATATAATATGAAATATTTCTGTGAAATATTTTTTAACATTAAGCAAACGGTTTTCTATGTGAATATATAGTAAAATGTAATTTATTGCTGTGATCAAAGCTGAAATTTCAGCATCATTACTCCAGTCTTCATTGTCACATGATCCTTCAGAAATCATTCTAATATGCTGATTTGCTGCTCAAGAAACATTTCTGATTATTATCAATGTTGAAAACAGTTGTGCTGCTTCATATTTTTGTGAAAACCTTGATATTTTTTTTTCAGGATTCTTTTATGAATACAAAAAGTTCAAAAGAACAGCATTTTATTTAAAATATAGATCTTTTGCAGTGTTATTTTAGTATTTTGAGTTTAAGTTAGTTTTTTCCCCCACTTTCATCTTAATTTGAGTACGTTTTAGTACTTTTGTTCCATGATTTTGTCACTTTTATTATTAAAAATGTCTATATATTTTATTATATTAATATATATTTTATTAATTTTCATTTCAGTTTTATTTATTTTAGTACATCAAGTTAGATTAAATAAAAATTATAAATGTTTCCTTAGCAGCTAGGTAAAATAAAATATGTTCAAGGTTTTCATAGGTTTTTTAAATTTCAATTAACATTTATTTTATTTAAAGTAATAAAAATTATTTTAGTTTTCCAACATAGAATGACTTAAATACACCTTTTTGAAACATTATAAATGTCTTTACTCTCACTTTTGATCAATTTAATGGTTCCTTGCTGCATAAAACCTTTTTTTTTTTTAAATCGTACTGACCAAAATCATTAACTTAAAGAGTAATTAATCACACTAAATGATAATGATTGAAACGCACGCTGGTAACTTTGCGGTAAATCTGCGCAGCGTTTTGGCACTCAGAGTAAGGGTATTCTGACGTGGTCATCTCCAAGATGCACATGCCAAATGCATAGACGTCCACTGCTTCGTCGTACTTCTCCTCATACATTTCTGGAGCCATGAACTCTGGTGTTCCTGTTAAACACAATGTGAAGAATTCTCTTAGATGTCACTACCAAAACGGTACATTTTATAATGGTTTAATAACACACTTTATTTCAGGATCAGGAAAGAACTGTCACACCATGGTATTATCCTCTTGATGGTATTACTTTGTAAGCTACCTAGTGGCTAAAGGTGAACATTTCAAAAGTAAAATTGAATGTTTAATTTTAAACTTGAAATGCAATGAGGTTGAAGATCTCAGCAGATCTAAGATAAATCATTACTGAGAAACTAAAGCATGAAACGCTTCAGGAGTTTGCAGTGACCTACCTATTACGCTCTTGGCAAAGCTTGCCCTCTTGAGTGTGGCCAGTCCAAGGTCCCCGATCTTCACACTTCCTGTGGGGCCCGTGATGAAGATATTGTCACATTTCAAGTCCCTGTGAATGATGGGAGGGGTCCGCGTGTGCAGGAAGTGAAGTCCTTTAAGGATCTGACGACTCCACCTCTGTAGGAGCTTTGGTTTCATCTCTTTGAAACGCTTTAGATACCTAAGAAATTGGGATGTTAAAATCCTTTTCACCTCAGCACCAAAAAAGGGACAATTAAAGGGACAGTCAACCCAAAAAATAACATTCTGTTATCATTTATCACCCTCATGCCATTCCAAGCTTGTATGACTTTCGATCTTCTGTGGAATATAATAAAGAATGTTGGTAAGCAAACGGTTTCGGGTCCCACTGACTTCCATAGTATGGACTAAAAATACTATGGAAGTCAATGGGACCTGAAACTCTATTTTAAAGGGGTGGTTGATCAGCTTTTTTTGAAAGCTTGATTGTGTGTATGGGGTGCAGTGTAACATGTGTTCATGCTTCGTTTTTAAAAAAACGCATTATTTTCACATATTTTACACCGCTGTTTCCATTCTTGTCAAAACGGTCTGTTGAGTTCCTGGTTCTGTGAAGCCCCTCCCTCAGAAATACGCAATGGGCTCTGATTGGTTAGCGGGCTCAGTGTGTTTGTGATTTGCTAACCGCAGAGTGCACGTTGCCCAGAATTGTCACGCCCCCTTACCATTACGGGTATTTGCACTAAAGTTCAAAAAGTGAAATCATAATCAACCACCCCTTTAAATAATATCTTTATTGGTATCCCTTTAATGTGATCTATGTGATTCTGAGATGCAGGACAAACTCACGTTTTGAGGGTGCCAGAGGTCATGAGCTCAGTGACCAGAAGGATGCACTTGTGACCTTTCACAGTGGACTTCCAGGAGTCGTAAAAGCGCACAATGTTTGGGTGCTGAAGACCCTTGAGCATCTCAACCTCTTCGCTGAAGCGCTGGCGCTCCACTTTGGTCAGTTTGCGAGTCTGAAGAGAGAGAAGAGAAAAAAAAAAGATTTTGAAAGAGAAACAAAAAAATTAAGATTCTGAATTGTGCAACAAGAGGACACTTTGCGGAAAGCTGGGGGAAACTGGGATGACTGAGAACTTTCAATGACTTTCAATGAGCTCTTAAACAAAAACTAAGAAACAAATAAACCTAAGGCAAGACACTAGGCAAAACAATTGTTTTTTCAGGCACTGGTCAATTTTTTTGATTTTGAACTATTTTGCTTCCATAACATGTCGTCTATCAGACTAGTGGAAAGAAAACATCCAAAATACACATTTAAGTGTTTATATTATTACACTTTATCTATTTGCATCTTCAATTACAACACATATTATTAAAGGCCATGAGTTTTTTCTCATACACTGAGCCAGAACTCATCAGCAGCACTTACATAAACCAAACAAGTTTTATTCCTATCTATATTCTGAAGGTTTGTACAGAGGTTCATAATGTTCATATAACATTGGCACAATTTATATAACTTTTAATCATAATAACATGGTGGAAATATATTTGTTTTCTAGCTGTTGACAGTATTTTCTGATTTATGAAGTCAAAATGAAACAAGAATATTTATCCACTGTTCATACTTCTGTTCTATACATTTATGCAAATGAGTGCATATTTAATTAGTTAATTGGACCATAACATTTCAGAAAACTTGTAATACAAACCACTTGTCTTAATGTACTGTGATGAATGAACCAGTGAAAGTATGGTGATATCTATCTTACACCATGTTCACCTGTAGTGTCTTGCTTTAGTTTAGGTTTTAAATGACATGTTCTTATGACGTACATCCGCCCTCAATAAGCAGCATGATTCACTGCTTATTCTGGCAGATAACAGCCTGTAATTAGTACTCAAAAAACCATTAAAACAGATAAGAACCAGTAAGACGCTTGCAACCGCAAGAATTTCACCATTTACTGTACATGAAACACCCTAACCTAATCATATTTTTCCGCTGTCTCATAATTACATCCCATTCTAAACATAGTTTTTTGAAAACCTTTAGCGACTGGACTACAGACGAGCAATTACTTGGCAACAAGGCCATTTCTGTCCTCTGGTGGGTATGAAAGGCTTGATTTAGCAGTCCTGGGCCTCTCAGCCGTGTGAGGAGGGTGGAAACTCCTCAGAGACAGCAGCTCAAGAACCATGAATCCTACATTCAGTGAGTTCTGGGAAAAGCGGTGTGTGTTTATGTCTCGAGGGACAGAGGGAGGCCGAGCTCTACATTTAACATTGTATTTGAAGATGTTGCTCATAAGATTCCTTAGGAGAAATGACAACAGACACAAATTTGGTGAATGACACATGAGAGAGTCCTAGGTAATGAAGAAAACAAATCTTTATAAAAATCTGGTTTAAAACACGTGTCAAGTTCTTAGAAATTTGATCTTTGTATTCATGTACAGCTAGGTTGCATTTGGTTTAGAAAACGTTCATGCCATTTTCAAAAAAAATTGAATGACTCTTAAAATGTGGTAATTGTTTTCAAAAAGGTTCTTAAAGGTATTTGCAAAAGTACTTTCTATAATAGCACTTGATTTGGCAGACAACGTTTTTTTTATTTTTTATTAAGATTTATTTTAAAATTTTAACAAAATTCTTTCATAGTTTGTTTAGGAAAAATAATAAAGATTATGCCTAACTACTTTTTTTCAAAAACATTCTTCATTTAATTTTTGTCTTCATATTAGGACAGCTGCATCACCCTGATATTATTTACTTTTTGTCCCCCAAATATCTTAAAATATTTTAATTCAAATATGATGCATAACATTACATAAGAGGTGTATTTCAGTCATTGTATGTCTGAACCAGACTTTTATTTTTTACTTGAAATAAAATAAAGAAATAAAATAAAAGTCCTCATTTTCATTTACATTAACATAAAAAACTAAAATAAAAATAAATAAAAACTATATAGATCTTTATGACAAAAACACAACATTACAAAACTTTTAACTAAGAAAAATGAACATGTAAACAGTATATATATATATAAACATTAAATATTAATAAAAACTATGATATTATCTTTCTGATACTAAAATAACACTATTCTAAACTGAAAATTTTTATGTAATTTTAAATTAAGTAAACTGTTGACGTGCAGTAACAGTATAGACCTATAAATTAATGTGTGTAACATATTCAAAACTTTTAACTGCAGACTTTAGTGTCTTCATAAATCTGAGCATAAGTTGAGAAATTATTGAGACCTCATTTGGAACTCTAGAGGAGAGACTTGTGAGATTACACTTGGAGTTCTTCCCTGTGGGAGGGTTTGAGAAATGGATTAAAGAAGCAACTTTACCCTCTTGGGAAAATGAATTATTAATTTGTGTTCAAACACGTTTCTCTCCCAACCCAACATAAATACAGTTTTCCTGTACTGGGCTCAAGGCTTCTTGACACCAAATGATTGACAAGCATTGTCGGTCTTACGCACACATTGAGGCTCTCAGTGAACTCACTCACGCTATATTTAAGTCTACCTGAAGTACAGTACTCTCCCCCATCAAACCAACCACTGTAAAAACACAGGCATACATAAACACACATTAACACATGATACATATCCATGCCACTAATCTTATTAGTGACTCCAAACATCAGTTATGCATTTCCAGTCAACACAGGATTGCTTTTCAGACTTAAGTATGTGTACAATCAACACTGAGCTACTGTCCCCATGACCTGCCTCATATTAGTGATGCAACCGAGACCTTCTCATATACACTGGAACGTTTTTAGCACAGTTAATGTCATTATCTCCTCAAATACACTCCACAGGACTATATCTGTGCTGGGAAAACAAACTGACAGAGGTGCAGGGGTGTCGAGTATAGCCTAGCCTATATGAAGTGTACGGACACACATTTAGGTAACCAGAACCTTTTTCCAGGGTGTAAATATAATAAAGATGCATTTGACTTTCCAGCGCCTTCTAAGAGCAGAGACGCTTACCCTGTAAGTCTCTCTCTCTACCCTGTGTAAGCAATACTAAAACAGGAGTTTTCCACAAAAATATTGCATTTGAGTTCAACCACTGGTACACAAACAAGAGGTTAAGATTGAGTAACTTCTATTTTAGACACAACATTGTCAGTTACTTTGTCAATTTTTTGCTCAGATTATGAAAATAATTTCAAACGAAGCCAGAGAATAACCAACCATGGCATGTCTTCAAAAAACACATAGTAGTGGTGTTTTGAACAAATCAGTTGAGTGGATCATTCAATAACTCACTCATGAAGTCAGATACTTGGCTGCATCTGAACATGCATACTTCCCTACTATATAGTAGGCGAAAAACCAACCCAGGCTCATTCGAAATACATGCCTCTAAATACATTTCTGCAACACCGTTATTACGTACCTTACTGCATGTTTTGTGGCAGTTTAAAAGTGAAATGTCCAGTGAGTGGCACTAAAACACGGGTTCAATGCGTGACCCTAGCACGTTTTTTTTACATTGATATAATAGCCATGTATTGCTGTGTTTTTATTACGTTGCTTCAGGTATTGCGTATTGCGGCGGTTCATAATTCAAATATCCAGGGTGTGTCACTAAAAGTTAATGATCTATCGTGTTAGAAATATCCCCAACACCAAACCCACCCAACCTTAAACCTACCCGATAGTGTTAACAAATGCAAAACTGATATAAAAATGCATTTGTTGATGCAACCGTGCCATTTGAACTTCCTTACATGCAGGTTTGAACTGTTTTGTCGAAGCATAGTTTCACGGGATTCGTACCGAAGCTCTTCACCACTCAAGTGCAACTCCATACTGCGTGAGCTACCGAACAAACCTACTGAATATGAAAACACATACATATGAAACTGGATATGTGACGCTAACATTCTAAAGTATCATTTTTGAGATCTCACAGCATGTTAAAACTGTTTTGAATATATAACATAATATTCCTCTAGTAATTGTGCGAAAATTAGGTTTTATTAATCAAAATTGTGGACCTGTAAATCTTACTTTGTGTGAAAAGGAATAAACGTAGTTGGAGTTTTACTGCCTCTAGTGTTCATTTCAACTGGAAACTGCAGCGATTCGTATGTATAGGTACGTTTTTTCAGTTTTGCAGAAATGTATTTAGAGGCACGTATTTCGAATGAGCCTATGTCGCAAATGTGAAAAGAGTAGTATAAGCAAAATAACAGTATTTATAGAATAGCACGAAAAAAGTAACCAGATTACTTTGTACTTAATAATTATATACTACTTAATATCATGACATTTTGCATTGCAATTGGTTTAGTGAATGATTCAATGACTCATTCATAAAGATAATCACTTGTCGCTACCTACTGGCATCAAAAAGAGTTTCCGTAAGATGCCCATCACAGTTTATCATCATGACTTTTATTAATAAATGTAACTATTCAAAATGTGTGTCTGTATTGGTGTATTCACCGTTGCTGCATTTTAGATATAAAGTAATAATTAAAGGCTGTGTTACAGTGATTATACCACAGTTAACAGTGTTTTAGTCAATCAGTGGTTACATTTCTGTAACACACAGCCTCTTGTGGCTCATTGCTTCATTTGAACAGCTTGTTTGTAAAACAGTTATTTATTTCATGACTGGGTGATTTAATTGAAGGGTTAGTTCACCCAAAAATGAAAATTAGACTGTTTTACTCACCCTCGAGGCATCCTAGGTGTATATGACTTTCTTCTTTCAGTCAAATCCAGTCGGAGTTATATTAAAAATTGTCCTGGCTATTCCAAGCTCTATCATTGATTCGCTACAGGAGGCCTTTATTCACTCCCCCGGAGCCGTCTGTGGCACGTTTTATTATGGATGCGCGCGTTTTATTTGACGACTTGTGGACTGTTCAACTGCAACACCCGCTGACTGCAATGATAGAGCTTGGAATAGCCAGGACAATTTTTTTATATGAAAGTCATATACACCTAGGATGCCTCAAGGGTGAGTAAA